TCAGATATGGAATGGGACCAAATGGCACCGGCAGTCTGCGGCATACAAGACATCCTTTAACTACGAACTTACCTGGACTCGACATGGTCTTCCCATTTACTTTGGCGAAATTAACAGAGGTGAAACCCGCCCAGTGTTTGTTTCATTAGATGAAATCCCACCAGGATCTACTGATATCATTTTGATCCATCTCTACGCCCATTTCCAATACCACCACCCATCAGTGTTCAAGACAAATATCAGGAGGACTGTGAGATCTCTGAAGGAGCTTATAGTAAGGGCTCCACGCGTCTCCGTTGCCATCAAAGGGCCTCATCACTTCAGCTTCAGGGACAGAAAGACGTTGGGCGGTATGTGGGGTCCTATTTATGACCATATTCTGAAGGCAGAATTTAAGGACCTCTACCACAAAGTGTGGTTTTTGGACGTTTGGGACATGACAGTTGCCCGAGAGAGCAGAGACGTCCATCCCTCCAGTAGTATTGTCAAGTCCATGGTGAACATGTTTGTCGATTTTGTTTGCAGTTAATTCCATATGATAATGTATTATTCTAACGTGTTAAAAAGAAACTATCAATATATTACTTCCCATTTTTACAACGATCTCTTTACTAGCACTTCCCGCAAAAGGGTGGATCTTGATTGCAAATAGAAACAGGTTTGTTACAACTGTCTTGTATTATTATTTTTCAACGAATTTAGAATATATTTTTCTTCCAGTAATTGGTCTCGCACTCCTTGCATATCTCCAATATTTTGTTTGCAATTAGAGATCGGCTAGGTTGAAACGGCAATGTAGTAATACAAGTGTACCGGTATATCTTCCATACCTAGATTATCCCATCCACGTGCTTCGCCCAGCATTACAAGCTGGTGATGTCGCGAGTTTGGTTTTTGAACTCTTTCTTAAACCGGACAATTGTGGACTGTTCTATGGAAATATTGCACTTGTACATACATGGTCAATTTAACACTTTTCTATGCTCAATATATCATTTGCAGTTGGACAGCCCCTCCCTACAATAGGAAACAAGGCATCTGTAAGACTGACCTCACTGTTACTCTTTATTGTTAGACAATGGCCAGTTCTACGGCTTTGTTTATTGCTTAGCTTAATACTTAGTCTAATGTGATAATAGAAATGTCAATTGCCTTGATGTATTCAACTTCCTGGTGGAGTTAACTTCACAGAACTCGGCGATTTTATGTCCGCTACACCCAGATTTGAGAATTGCAATCAGTTTATCAGTTTCACACAGACAAAGACGAGTTCAGTCGTTTGATTGACTTATTTTAGTTAATAATTCACACGGACAAATCCGAGTTCAGTCATTTGATTGACTTAGTATAGTTAATAATTCAGGTAGACAAATCCGAGTTCAGTGATTTGATCGACTCAGCATAATTGATATATCACACAGACAAAGGCGAGTTCAGTCATATGATTAACTTAATATTGTTAATAGATTTACGAAGACGAGACATTTGATGGAATTTTATGTAGTAAGAATAAGAGCATATTCCTTTTTTACACAATTTGCACTTTATCGGTGGTAAGGCAAAGTTACCATAACGTTGTGAATGTACATACAACTTTGAAACAGAGGCCTATCGTTATTCCATAATGTTGCAATAAACAAACTTTCGTTAAATAACCCAAAGTGTTGCTGCAATCATCCCGTGGGGACCCTGGCTAGAAAACATTCTCAAAACACAAACAAACAAACAAACATGACTGCAGTCATCCCGTAGAGATCCTGACTAGAAAACATCCACAAACACACAAACAAACAAACATGACTGCAGTCATCCCGTAGAGATCCTGACTAGAAAACATCCACAAACACACAAACAAACAAACATGACTGCAGTCATCCCGTAAAATCCTGACTAGAAAACATCCACAAACACACAAACAAACAAACAAACATGACTCCATCATCCCGTAGAGATCCTGACTAGAATATGTCCACAAACACTGTAATAAGTATTAGTTAGTGAGTGAGTGAGCGTGATTTCTGCGTTACTTTGCAGTATGGCGTTTCATCAGGACCCGACGTGTGTGAGAGCTTATTGTGGAAGTCCGGATACAGCTTTCTCGAAAACGAGCAGTGCATTTAATGATTTGGCAATTCGTGTTAGGTAGTCATGTCGTTTGTTTTAAAACATAATACCAAATAATAATGTTGTGGTGTTGTAATACAGGAAGGTAATGTACCAATTAGTATATCCAACTCCCCCGCTGGACCGCGTATGTTGTGGGAGGAAAGTGCGATGTACAAGCCACAGACTGTTCACCACTTTGGTGAAGCCTTCGAGGCAGGATAAGTGAGTTTAAGCCGCTTTAAGCAATATGCTATTATCAAATATACCAATATCACGACTGTACACTCACCGGTAATGGGCTTCGTTCATTTTAAGAGTGTTCTAACCACATAGCGCAAACAGGCCAAGCATTATAGTGATGCAGTTGGGATTCTAGTATGACTAAAGCTCACAGTCCAACAACAGTATATGTTATGATGAATGTGTGCAACCAAGAGGAGATAAATGACATGCCTTGCCGTTTTCTGTGCCATTATGTTTAACGTTGGTCACTGCCCAGACAAGTATTTACAGACGTGAACCCCTGAAGGCATTTTAAGTTGACCAAGGTTCACATCTGAATCGAATTAACACTTGAGACGTCCTCCTAAAACTGGAACTGCATTGAACGTCTTGGAAGAAGACAAGGAAATACAAGAAAGTGTTTTATTAATGTACCATGTTCGACAGATTTAATTAGTACAGTAATAATGTAAAGCGATGTACATGCGGTGAAATGAGGATTTTACTAATTAAGAAATAAAGTTTGCTCTACCCCAATGTTTAGTGCAATAAAGTATATTTTGCCCTGAATTAAGTCTTGCAAAAATACATCATCCTGACATGTTGGGCGGTGGGGTAGTCTAGTGGTTAAAGCGTCCGCTCGTCACGCTGAAGACCCCAGTTCGATTTCCGACATTGGTACAATGTGTGAAGCCCATTTCTGGTGTCCCCCGCCGTGATATTGCTGGAATATTGCTAATAGCGGCGTAGAATCATGTCACGACAAGTTAAAAGTATAGGAACTAACATGGATAGTGGTTGTGCCAAGTTATAACAGATGACTAAGACTAATTACGTGAGTGAGAGTTTTCAGCAGTATCCCTACGGGACACCAAGAATGAGAGTGTACTCATATGAGGAATCAGAGATTGTACTTGTATGAGGAATCAGAGATTTGAGGAATCACAGATTGTACTCCAATGAGGAATCAGAGATTGTACTAATGAGGAATCAAACCAGCAACTTTTGTGACGATCTAAAGTACGCTTTTACCATTGAGCTATCTCGTCGCCTACGAATTGATTCCAGCAGTGAAGATTCGGGTCAGCGTAGGTCTTCAGCAACCCATGCTTGTAAGAGGCGACTTATTGATCGGGTGGTCAGACTCGCTGACTTGGTTGATGCATGTCATCGTATCCGAACTGCGTGGATTGATGCTCTTGATGTCAATCACTGGATTGTCTTGTTCAGACTTGATTATTCACAGTAAGCCGTCATATTGTCGGAATATTGCTGAGTGTGCCGTTAAACAACAAACAAACAAACGGATTGATTGGCATTTTGACATTGTGGATAAATTGGTGGTTACGGTGATGTAATTGTTACGTTCCAATAACTATCATGCTCCTGTCGCCTTGCCATGTTTTCTTTTGTTGTGCGTTGACATCTACATTAAGACGGGTAGAAGTTATTCATACTCAAGTTTTCCCATCATTATGAGGAACGAGGTAGTTTAAGCCACGAAACAAGAAGTTAGTTAAGCATGCGCTGACCAACTTATTAAGTATTAAGTCTTTGAAAGGCACTTAGAGGGCACGGGTGGCTAAGTCGTCTAGGTAAACGGGAGGCCGGGGGTAGTAGCAATGATATGTAAAGAAATAGAAATAGCAATGGGCAAATAGAAGCCAGCTAGATAATTGGCACTGCCAAAGAACAAAGCAATAATATGTATATACCAGATCCCCTGCAACTGTGGCCACCAGTTCATCGGAGAAACCCTCAGACCCCTTAACACCAGACTCAAAGAACATCAGACCTCATCCAGACCTGAAATCCGCTATTTCCGAACACATCCTCAAGAACCAAGACCATAACATCATGTGGGAAGCTACCAAAGTCCTGTCCACCAACAACAATAACTGGCGACAAAGAAAACTACAAGAAGCCATTGACATCAGGAGACACCAGCCAGCCATGAACCCTTACCAGGGAACCTCTCTGCCTCATGCTTGGGACCTTCTGCTTTGATCAGATGATCAGCAGCTGCGCAGGACACATATACTAGTATAGTGTTAAGATTACACATAGATTCCGAAAACAAGACACAGGATAACAAATGATGACAAGAAACGAAGCCTTTTGCCGTCTCGTCGAAGATCAGGGTTCAATTCCTGACGTGTAAAACTGTATTTGGTGAGGTGATTACAGAGATTATAATAAATTGTAACTATAGTGATTCTTGTTGATGCGGTGATGGTGAGATGATGATAGAATGATGGTAGGATGGTGGTGGTGATAATATTCACATATCCGCAACAGTAGTCAAACTTCCGAGATAGGCCTAGGTTGGACACCCGTCTGAATAGTGATCTTCACACGATAGCTGGTCTTGATGTAATGTCAGATGACATATAATCTAACTAGCTTCCAGCACTTCCTACACAGTGCTTGACAAGTCCAACGACACTAGTATATCACAGAATATTCCACATGTTTCTATAACGCTTGACATCCACCCATGTAATTCTGGAAGTTTAAAGATAATTCGAGCATGTAAATATAATAACTTCCTCACCAATGCCTACAATAGATAATACTACATTCCTGACAACTAATCCTCATCCAAATACAATGAAATGAACTTCTACTGAATCTCAACAGAAACAATATAATACAGTTACAATCATCATTGTCTAACTAAAAATTACACTGCCATGTAACAGGAGGATGGCAGGATGAAGACAGGATGATGGCAGGATGATGGTAGGATGATGGTAGGATGATGGTAGGATGATGGTAGGATGATGTTGGGATGATGATAGGATGATGGTAGGATGATGGTAGGATGATGGTAGGATGATGGTAGGATGATGGTAGGATGATGGTGGGATGATGATGGGATGATGGTAGGATGATGGTAGGATGATGGTGGGATGATGGTGGGATGATGATGGGATGATGGTAGGATGATGATAGGATGATGTTGGGATGATGATAGGATGATGATAAGATGATGATAGGATGATGGTAGGATGATGGTAGGATGATGGTAGGATGATGGTGGGATGATGATGGGATGATGGTAGGGTGATGGTAGGATGATGGTGGGATGATGATGGGATGATGATAGGATGATGGTAGGATGATGTTGGGATGATGATAGGATGATGATAGGATGATGGTAGGAAGATGTTGGGATGATGATGGGATGATGGTAGGATGATGGTAGGATGATGTTGGGATGATGGTAGGATGATGATAGGATGATGATAGGATGATGGTGGGATGATGGTAGGATGATGATAGGATGATGGTGGGATGATGTTGGGATGATGGTAGGATGATGGTAGGATGATGGTAGGATGATGTTGGGATGATGTTGGGATGATGGTAGGATGATGTTGGGATGATGATAGGATGATGTTGGGATGATGATAGGATGATGGTAGGATGATGATAGGATGATGGTGGGATGATGTTGGGATGATGGTAGGATGATGGTGGGATGATGTTGGGATGATGTTAGGATGATGGTAGGATGATGGTAGGATGATGTTGGGATGATGGTAGGATGATGGTAGGATGATGTTGGGATGATGGTAGGATGATGGTAGGATGATGGTAGGATGATGTTGGGATGATGTAGGATGATGGTAGGATGATGGTAGGAAGATGGTGGGATGATGGTAGGATGATGTTGGGATGATGATAGGATGATGTTGGGATGATGATAGGATGATGGTGGGATGATGTTGGGATGATGGTAGGATGATGTAAGATGATGGTGGGATGATGGTGGGATGATGTTGGGATGATGGTAGGATGATGGTAGGATGATGTTGGGATGATGATAGGATGATGATAGGATGGTGGTAGGATGATGGTAGGATGATGGTAGGATGATGTTGGGATGATGATAGGATGATGATAGGATGATGGTAGGATGATGGTAGGATGATGATAGGATGATGGTGGGATGATGTTGGGATGATGGTAGGATGATGGTAAGATGATGGTAGGATGATGATAGGATGATGGTGGGATGATGTTGGGATGATGGTAGGATGATGGTAAGATGATGTTGGGATGATGGTAGGATGATGGTAGGATGATGTTGGGATGATGATAGGATGATGTTGGGATGATGGTAGGATGATGATAGGATGATGATAGGATGATGGTAGGATGATGATAGGATGATGATAGGATGATGATAGGATGATGATAGGATGATGGTAGGATGATGGTAGGATGATGATAGGATGATGGTGGGATGATGTTGGGATGATGGTAGGATGATGGTAAGATGATGTTGGGATGATGGTAGGATGATGGTAGGATGATGTTGGGATGATGATAGGATGATGTTGGGATGATGATGGTATTATAGTAGGATGATGGAATGAAGTAACCTTTGGTGATGGTCGACGTTTATCGTTTGGTGTGTTACTCCCATCATCCAACCGTCACCATATCAACAAGAATCACAGTATTAACAATTCAGTGTGACATCCCAATGTAACATGAAGAACAGGTAATCAGATACACGTTGTTTAAATATAAATAAAAGAGCATCTCATACGTCCTTGTGTGTGGGTTTTTTTAGGGGGGGGGGGGGGGGGGGGGTACAAGGGATCGCCATGGCCTACTTATGAGGATCGGGGTTTTCAAAGTGCCACCTGGCTAATCGTTTCTCCTGATCATGTGTCATCGTCTCCCGACAGCATGAATCGTTAAGGTAGCTCAAACTGAACATACCCTTTCACACAAACATGCGTGGGATCACGTCCTTCTGTCGATAACCTACAGATCGATGCATGTAACACTGGCTGCATATAAACAATTAAAAATGTATAGGTTCGATATCGGATCGTTATCAGATGTTTTGTTTTCATTGTTTGATAGGCATTACTTAGAAGTATAACAACATAACAGTATGGATAACAACATCAATCAACAGAGATCAAGGCTATTTCATCCCATCCGCCTACTATGAACTCATCAAGGAACAATCAATTATCCTGTTTTTTGGCTTCATGTCCCTATTGGCTTCCACCTGTGTGTTCTCTGTCCATCGTATTGTGACAGCATTATCCCTTTGTTGTCAACACCTACCAACGCTATCTCACTCATGTATGCAGTTGTTGTTACTGTTAATCCTCTACTGTTAATCCTCCACCTACTATATATATTCTGTACTAAGTCCCTCATTCAGTCTTGCTTGACAACGGTATAAGGATCTATACCTAAACGTCGCTTTTCACAGTATTAAAGAAGTTGTTATCCATAAAGTTGTGTCTACCCTGTTTTGTTTTCACTCACTGGTTCACAACTACTTGGTCGCCTATAATATAATAGTATAATGACGCCTATTTATTAAGACGTGCCGTTAATTACAACACACAACTACCACTGCCCTTCATTTAACAAGTTAGTAACCTGCTTTCGAGAATGAAATGAAAATCCCTTTCCAAAAACGCCAAGCATAGCTACACTCGGTAACTATTTGGGTCTCTTAATCTCCCTGATAACTGGTAAAACTTCTACATTAACATATCAAACATACAAATATTCTTTCAGGAACCTGATGAATTAGGTAAAATCAATGGTTAAACCTTGTCAGATAGATTCTTACAAATGTGGATAACTGTAAACCAAACAGACAGACAGGTTATTTTATTAACGTCTCACTCATGATACTGATACAACAGATATACGTCAAAGATCTATGTTTACAGGTTGATGTTATGATGACAAGGATAAAATCGATAAAGTACTGAAAGTAGAAAGGACATACTTAAACTCGAGACTAAGCACATACACATAAGATTACACAGATATACAGACTACCACCTTTGCATCTATCAAGATAATGAAAATTTACGTATATTAATAATATGGGCTGAGATATGTACACATTCAAACAGCTAGAGGCTTACGATGGGTATTGCCCTTGGCATTTCCTTAAACTAGCCTGTTTACAATATTATTAATAATACTAACATTAACGATAAATGTGCGGTAACTTAACAATGTTGAGATCTGCATAATACATTTAAAATAAAACTATTCACAACAAAGTATGACATACAATTAATGATAATTGTTAGCAGTATTATAAAAAAATATGAACTGCATTTTATAATTAATTGCAACAACACTGAATAGAACGTCATAAACACAAACATTCCAAATAATTACTTGTGAAAGTTAACTTGAATAAGATATGAATAAACTTGTTAATGTAAGCAGGATGTAAAATGAAAAAGCCTGGATAACTTTTATCAAAGTAATATTAAATGTTTGTAAAACATATGGAAAGTAAAATATTTGAAATGAAATAAAAGTAGAATTATAAGGTAGCTAATTTTAAATGTACAAGAATTTGGATATACGGGTATATAAAATATAGTTGGGAATATTTTATTAGGAATTTTCAACGAATTTGGACAAATATGTACACGATAACACTAGCAACTGGTAAGCTATTATTCTCACTAAACTTCACTCATAGACACCTTTATCATCAATGCTTCGGTCAAACTAAATTATACAATTCTGTCGAGTTAGCGTGACAAAAGTTCACAATAACATCTTTATCGTCAGTTTAATCAGTAAATGAGATTATCTGTAGAGCGAGAATATGTATAAATACGGACCACAGACAGTCACATATCATACTGTGGCAGTCTAATAAACTGAGTGTTTGTTTAATCAGATAAGATACGTTGCTTTCTTGAACTACGTTAAATCTGAACTATATGCTTTTACCCTTGGGAAAAGCTGCACATATATTTGGTAATTGAAAATGTCACACTTGTGTGTATAGCTTTGATATTCCCATTGTACTACTGCTGTAAATAGATTATGCTAATTCTGTTAACTGTATTACGTTGTTTACCTTCTGGGGTACGTAATGTAGCTGAACTAGAATGTATCTTGTGTAATGTTTAAGTTGGAGTGTGTCGGGTACACTATGTTCAAGCATGTTAACTGCTGTATCACGTTGTTTACCTTCTGGGGTACGTAATGTAGCTGAACTAGAATGTATCTTGTGTAATGTTTAAGTTGGAGTGTGTCGGGTACACTATGTTCAAGCATATGTTAACTGCTGTATCACGTTGTGTACCTTGGAATATATGTCGTGACTAATGTTGTATGTATCTTGTATACTAGTAATCATTCTATGCCATGTGCATGTGGTGTTCTTCGCGTATATGTTCTTCTATAACTGATTGTAAACATGCTGTTATAATTTATTGTAAGCATTCTGTTGTTGCCTGAAGATGTAAAGATTCGGTGGCTGTGTATTTAACTGACTGTTCATTTAGGGGTACCTCTGCTAAGCGAGCTGATTCCAAAAATATGGCTTTTTAATAAATTCAAGAAATCATGAATACCAATATTAATACCTTTCGAAAACCTTCCAAATTGTGTGTGATACGGCCTTGTTACGACGTAAATTGTAATAAAAAGGTAAATTGTAATACTTGCAGCAAATTGTAATAATTTTGACGTAAATTGTAATAACAACGTAAATTGTAATAAAATTTGACGTAAATTGTAATACGCAAATTTGGCGCCTTAAATTCGGCGCCTTAGACGACTGGGCCACCCTTGCCCCCTATCTACGTAGAAGATACATTCATCTACGTTGAAGATACTTTCATCTACGTATATGATAGTATCTTCTACGTAGATGATAGTATGTCATCTAGATACTATCGTCCACTTACATACTTTCATCTACGTACATGATACTGTCATCTAGAGTATATAGAAGTGCAGTCATATATGTGATACCAATGACATAGAGCTCACATTAACTGTCATTACATACACACCTACATGCGCGCATACATACATACATACATACATACATACATACATACATACATACATACATACATACATACATACATACATACATACATACATACATACATACATACATACATACATACATACATACATACATATACAAACATACATACACACACACACACAAACACACACATACATACATACATACCTATGTGTGTATGTGTTTGTATGTATGTGTGTGTGTATATGTGTGTTTGTGTGTGTGTATATGTGTGTTTGTGTGTGTGTGTGTGTGTGTGTGTGTTTGTGTGTGTGTGTGTGTGTGTGTGTGTGTGTGTGTGTGTGTGTGTGTGTGTGTGTGTGTGTGTGTGTGTGTGTGTGTGTGTGTGTGTGTATGTGTGTGTGTGTGTATGTGTGTGTGTGTGTACTGATGAGGGCATAGTATCGGAGATAAATATAACTTGGTTTCTTAGTTAGTCACTATTCTTTTCATTGGAATGTCAAGAAGGTATACTATAATTTCAATATTTTATTACAGTGCTTGATGTTAGCTGGAATTATTTTAATCCTCTTAAACCCCCAGAGAAGATTATCCTCTGAAGTAATTTTTGTCCGTATATATGTCACAAATTAGTGATAACTTATGAAAAACGTAATTATCTGTTTCGAAAATTATGAAGCGCATTATACGTGAGGTACCAAATTTGGTATCAAGGTTGCTTAGCGCAATCCACCAACGATTGCCGAGTTTAATGATCTTAGAATACTCTTCGTATAAGGTCAAAGAGAATATTTACATTAGTGACAAAACCCTTTTCATTATAGATTTTCCATCCTTTCAATTTTGATCAAAACAGTTTTATATCAGCAATAATTGATTGCAACAAATTGATTATACATTCTGATACTCTTTGAAACTCAACAAGACATGCCCGAAGATACCGGATTAAATTTGTGTATGCTTGTGAATTATGATTTAGTGCCGTTATCATGATGGATTCTGTTTTTGTTGTTGGGGCAAGGAGTTATTTTCCCAGCAAAAGTTTTCAGTAAGTTCTTGTTAGTTCTTCATGACATATGAAAGGAATCCAGACAGTTACATTTATTCATTTATTTCATTAAATATACTTCTTCCTATGAAAGGAAATATTTTATGTTATATTAATGATCCATATGTTAATCATACATTGCTACAAATATTGCATAAGTTGACATGGTTTGCATTTATTTATTATTATTTCTTTATCTGTGAGAAGTTCACAGAGATCGAGAATACACAATATCTAATAGTATATGCAATGTAGGTAAAGAATATCCTCGCCCTTCTTTTGATATCAATAAAAACATTGTATATAATGTTATGTATTAAGTATTCTCCTTTCCCATGGATGGGAAATCTATGCTGCATTTGCTGACGACTGTTTTTTTTTTCATTTGACATTGCACACAGGAGATCTGTCACTCATTTGTTGTATTTGAATTCTTCGTCAAATTTGATACAAAACACACAGAGTATTTCTCAAATAAATAAGAAAACTAAGTTCATTCTAGTAATTAATCCTCTTCTGGACAACCATAGAAATGAAATTCCAATGCGTTTATATATACATATAATTATACAACAATGTACGATAACGACCTCAATCCTCCCCCCACACCCATACTTTAATGACGATTGTACGATAAACCCTGTACCAACCCTGACAAGGATAGGTTCTAGTCATTTAACGCCTTTGACACTAAACTTATAAGGTTATTACAATTTACGTAAGAATTTATTACATTTTACTGCAAGTAGAGATTATTACAATTTACGTCATTTTTTATCACAATTTGCGTATTACAATTTACGTCAAATATTATTACAATTTACGTTGTTATTACAATTTATGTCAAAATTATTACAATTTGCTGCAAGTATTACAATTTACCTTTTTATTACACTTTACGTCGTAACAGGTCTGTTTGCAATAAACGTTCTGTTCTGTAGTGAACTCAGAGCCACGACACACTTCCAGAGCTTTACACAAACTTTATCATTGACTGCTTGATTCAAATTATTTAAAGCTTCGGAGCCTAAATGCTTATGAAATTTATTTACATGTTTTTTTCCTGAATTTGCTTCTAAATAACGCTTTACATTTGTAATGTTTCTATGTGACGCGAAGTAGCTAATTGATCAAACGGGTTCTTTTTAAACAAACAATATTCATCATCGAGACATACAGAAATGTCCCATTCGCAGACAGGCAGTTGTCAAACAGCTATAAACAACATTTCTGGCTGAGTGTACAGCAAAGCTACTGCCGAGTACATGCCTATTACATGTACCTGCAACTGGAATCATTTGGATCACCAATGTAATAGACACTCGAATGTACAAGACTTGAGTGTTGAAAACTGAAAGGTATTATGATATCAATCCTGATATTAATATTGTCTGAACGGCATTCCGGCCTCAGAAATTGTTACCGCAACTAAAAAATCTTTCTAATTGTAAGAATGAGTCTAGTTTTACGCCGTGTTTAGCAATTTTCTAGCAGTTTCACGACGGCGGGACACACGAATTCACACACATTATACCTAGCGAAGGCTTTAACCATCAGGTTTCCCAAACGTCAGGTTTGTCTGTCTGTTTTTGTGTGTGGGTCTATTCTCTGCACAACTGAAGCAAGAATACACTCCAACCGCTGTCTTTAATGAAGCCTGCGTGACGGTGCACAAGTACACATGGTTGACCGTTGTTAAAATTAAATCCAATGCATCCTTCAGCCGCATGACAGGCGTCGCCACATGCCCTTAGAGTTGTCTCCCCCTGGTAACCGGTGAAAGTGACCGGATCTAGACGCACTCCAATTTTCCTTGCATATCTGGAACCTATATTGGGAACAGAACACATTACTTCCTCCCCGGGTTTCAGCATATTAAAGTAAGTGGAATTTGTCAGTTATGCTGAGTCGCTGCAATGTTTGAGCCGAGACAACATAAAACTGCCCTCTCCCCACTAATTACAGGCAACAAACACTTACTTTTTTAATCCAAATTTACCGTTGGCGGGTTCTGCCGCCAGGGCAGGACAGGACAGGACATGCTTAACCCTTTCACGAACACCTTGCGTCATCACTTATTTTGATTGGTCCATTTACATAATTTTCACCGCTATTTTGCCTGTTACGCCCATTAGAGTCTGTTTCGGCGTATAATCGAAACTGGTTATTCTCTGGCGTTGACGTTTTATAGTATCTACAGTAAGACCTCGTTACCTAAAAATCCATTGACACGATATATGGTCTTAGTTGATAATGTTGATACAGGTAGAATCCTTACCCGCAATGTGTATTTTGTCGGCACAGCACTCGTTTCGAAGTAAGTTTTGTTTTGTTTGTTCTGTGTTAAACGCCACACTCAGCAATATTTCAGCCACATTAGAGGTCTGTTAATAATCGAAACTGGACCAGACAACCCAGTGATTGACACCATGAGCATCGATCCACGCAATTTGGATACGATGACATGCATCAACCAAGTCAGCGAGCCTGACCACCCGATCCCGTTAGTCGCCTCTCACGACAAGCGTAGGATGCTGAAGACTAATTGAAGTAATAATAGGGATACCGTACACTGACAGATTTTGATGGTCACAAGAACTAAGAGGTAACGGGTTTTCATTGTATTTTCTTCACGGTAGGCATACAAAATGTAAAATAACTTATTATAACATGTAACATATAATGGCCACATATGGTTTTTTTCATTCATCCAGACAGTAAAAGCTGGATGTTAACATCGCAAAGCCCAGTCGGGCTGCAAATCCGGCGATTCTCCACAGGGGTACAATGTTTGATGCCCCTAACCGTGATTTAGCTGCAACATTGCGAAGAACGGCCTCACATATGTCAGATTGTGTCACGTTGCACTTACATTTGTTTGGAGATCCATATCCATAGACTTGCATCTCACAGATCGCCAGACGCTCATTAGTCGAGGTAGGCCGACTTAGCTTGACGTGGCGCCCGAACTGTGGTGGATCACACCTGAGGCTGATTGTTTCTCCTGCTCCAACGGCGCCATTATGGGAACTGCAGAAACCCGGTGAATCGTTGTTGTCCGAAAATACCTCCACGAACACATCATGCAGTCTCTCAGCTGCAAACACACACACATAGTAGGCATCGTTAAAAAACATACATTGTAGGCATCGTTAAAAAAACGTAAATAGTAGAAGCATTAAAACATACATAGTAGGCATCGTTAAAAACATACATAATAGGCATCGTTAAAAAAACATACATAGTAGGCATCGTTAAAAAACATACATAGTAGGCATCGTTATAAAACATTCATAATAGGCATCGTTAAAAAACATACATAGTAGGCATCGTTATAAAAATACATAATAGGCATCGTTAAAAAACATACATAGTAGGCATCGTTAAAAAACATACATAGTAGGCATCGTTTAAAAACATACATAGTATGCATCGTTAAAAAACATACATAATAGGCATCGTTTAAAAACATACATAGTAGGCATCGTTAAAAAACATATATAGTAGGCATCGTTATAAAACATACATAGTAGGCATCGTTAAAAAATCTGGTTTACGGACCATATCAATAAACTATTAAAGAAAAAGGAACAATATTAAAAATGATCCCCAAGATTATTGCACTTACACACCGACGCGCATGCATGTGTGTGTTAGTGTGTTAGTGTGTGTGTGTTAGTGTGTGTGTGTTAGTGTGTTAGTGTGTGTGTGTTAGTGTGTGTGTGTGTGTGTTAGTGTGTGTGTGTGTGTTAGTGTGTGTGTGTGTGTGTGTGTGTGTGTGTGTGTGTGTGTGTGTGTGTGTGTGTGTGTGTGTGTGTGTGTAATAGTCCAGACTAATTTGCCGATTTAATAGTTCTAGCCCACTGAGATAGCATGCCACAGTTTAACATGAATACCCAACTCTGAGCCGACCAGTCCTTGTTTTATCCCCTTAATAACAAGCGCCAGGCAGGGTAACAACAAGTACGAGAGTTTAAGGTCTTTTGGCATGACGGCCGATTGGGCGAAATAAAAAGAACGTCCAACGTTTAATTCCTTTCATACTTTTATTTACATTCCTGAAATTAGTTAACAAACTCTTCTTTAAATCATAAATGCCTAAAACCTTCCTCTGTATTATATATTCAGATATACATTTGTGAAATTGTTCATTGACGGATTTGTAAACGAACTGATAATTTTCATCTCAAATTTGCCACTTACAATATCTGCTGAATTTAAATTTAAATTGAAATGTAAGCAGTTTTTTGAAAAAAACACGTTATCATGTGCGTCAATCTCATCTGACGTAAGAAACCCGTTAATGTCAATATTTTCATCTCAACACATCCCAAGAGTAACACTGGAGAAAACACATCATAGGGATACCGATGGTCACGATGTCACACAATCAGCTGTCACTGCGCCTGACCATACGTTCCATGGGATTACTTTCCAGTCAAGTCCGGCGAGGAAGCCCAGTTCGCTCGTCGCACAGACCTCCCGGTATCGATTAACGATTTATATGTATTATGTATGTAGTTACATGCTTACAATATGTACGCAACAGTATAAGCAGTGGAGACATCTAACTGCTCCTCCGACGAAGAAAGCAAAGTCACCTCCCGAAAAGTCTGACCATTAATGGCCAATATCACTGCTATTCTACTTTGGCAATTGCGTTGAGAATATCAAGGCTACACGTTCTGGACAAAGTCACTAAACAACAAACCTTTTCGCAAGTCTGCACGGCAGAGGCTCTGAATCATTCACCACCTTCCTTATTCACCAAATACAAATGCAGGTCTCAGACGTTTACCACTTCGGTGAAACCCACGAGCACGGGTATGGTGCTGACAAATCTAGAAACATAATCGGGGCGAACCGGGATTCGAACCCACAATCATAGGTTTCTAGCGTTCCCAAGGGACGCAACTCTGCACATTGAATCGCGGCGCCTTAGATGGCTGGGCCACCCGTGCCCCCTCCCAAACTTGAAGACAGATCTGTCAGGCATGCATCATGCAAATGATGATGACGTCATGTCTGCTAGGCAGGACATGTTTCATACCACCAGGAGGGAGCCTTCTACACCAAAGGGGTCCATCCACTCCTGCATCGCTGGCTGAAGTGTGTGGGCCTCGGAGGGGGTTATGTGGGAAAATAATAGAAACCAACTTCACCAACGCTGTCCATCATCGTCAGGCTCAGAACTTTTCAGCCACCTTGTAGATTGAAACTTGGTGTTTATTTAAAATAGGTCCTGAAGAACGCTGATGGGAATTGGTTGTAGATGATGGCTGCTAAGTATGAAGGAGTCAACATCCAGCAAGATATAGGCGTCCGGAAAATTATGATGTTGGCACCAAGGAAATAGAACGGCAAGAAGCGCCTTGGAGACTAATTGCGAGAGCTGTGGTTCAATTTTCGAACTCATGAATATTTGACATTTTGAAATGTTTTGAATGATGTGCAGTTGGAGTTAATGCGGGTGTTCCAGTTATTAATATTTATGTGACTGTTTCCGCTGAAAGGTCCAAGTTTTTATATGCAGTGCAACATTTACAAATACTCACCCTTTTCCGTGATTAGCCGTACGAAATCACAAGAGTAGTCACTAGTGTCAACAATAACATGTCCCTTTATATATGATATTTATGTATGCTACTTGGTTAATAGTGTTCTACTCACCACAACAATCTCCCCTGTTGGTGACGTTGACGCTGGTGATGATGTAGGAGTCGCCTAAGTCGACACTGATCCACTGTAAGGCAGATGCGAATGGAGTGTAGAAGCAGCTGCCGTCGCGATGGTACGGTGATAGGTTGCCGTCAACTGCCAGCTGAGGCGAGTTTTCAAATGTGCTTGCTGTTGCTATCTTATTCAGCGCCAGGTTGACAGGATCTGGTTGCAGAAAGAGTAACACATACATGTCCAGGATTTGCTAGTCCCAGAGGGCGACCCCCTTTTTGTGATAATATAATCGTTTTATACATGTTTCACCTCAGAAGGATGTGATTAGTTATACATGTTTCACCACAGAAGGGTGTAATTAGTTTTACATGTTTCACCACAGAAGGATGCAATTAGTTGTACATGTTTCACCTCAGAAGGATGTGATTAGTTATACATGTTTCACCTCAGAAGGATGTAATTAGTTATACATGTTTCACCTCAGAAGTATGTAATTAGTAATACATGTTTCACCTCAGAAGTATGTAATTAGTAATACATGTTTCACCTCAGAAGGATGTAATTAGTTATACATGTTTCACCTCAGAAGTATGTAATTAGTAATACATGTTTCACCTCAGAAGGATGTAATTAGTTATACATGTTTCACCTCAGAAGGATGTAATTAGTTATACATGTTTCACCTCAGAAGTATGTAATTAGTAATACATGTTTCACCTCAGAAGGATGTAATTAGTTATACATGTTTCACCTCAGAAGGATGTAATTAGTAATACATGTTTCACCTCAGAAGTATGTAATTAGTAATACATGTTTCACCTCAGAAGGATGTAATTAGTTATACATGTTTCACCTCAGAAGGATGTAATTAGTTATACATGTTTCACCTCAGAAGTATGTAATTAGTTATACATGTTTCACCTCAGAAGGATGTAATTAGGTTTACATGTTTCACCACAATAGGGTGTAATTAGTTAATATATACATGTTTCCCGAAAGAAGGGTGTAATTAGTTACACATGTTTCATCTCAAAAGGGTGTAATATAACATGCTTAGACTTGTCAAAAAATACAATCTCTATGCAGAAATAGAAGATTATCTTATTAAATGTAGCTTCCCAAGTAAAAAGGCATGGTCTGATATTGTTCAGGAAAGGATTATTTTTGCAGACCAGGAAGCTGTATGCTCTAAGCTGCCGTCTAGACTTAACTTAAATAGATATGTTTCGCTACGTAATGATAAAGAACACAGACTCTGGCCATGGCTGCTTGCACTTGAACGTACTGAACAGTTCCCAAACCTGTCTCATCTTGTACGGCTGGGATGCCTAAATGTAGAATCTAGGGAATGTCGATGTAGAATTGTAGCTCATGATATTATTAAGCATGTCTTTTTGTATTGTGCATTGAATATGAATGACAGAAATGAACTATTTGAATTCATTTGTGATGTAATATCTCTACATTTGCAAGACTATGTAGTGAGGACGATGATATAATCCTGTCTGTACTACTTGGCGGTATGCCTGAGTGTGTTAGCTCTTTATCTCAAAGTCTATGGGGTGACCTTATGGTTATTGTGTCAAGATACTGTAGGAAATGGCTGTATCTGTTACAAAACGGTTATAAGAATGCTTGATTGTCATGTATTTTGTAGTTATCATTTCTCATAATATTGTTAAATTGTACTACTGTGCAGCTCTGTAATTATACATAATATCATATATGATATGTATCTTCAATATCTGGAGGAAATCAAGAATATCTATCTATCTTGGTTACAAACAAGTTCCAATTGACACTCCTCACTTAGAAACACAAGCGTACACAATCTCGACAGAAAACACTTATATAATATTGATTAACATATACCATCAAACCACAAACCCTTTCGACAACACAGACCTTGAAATCCTAGCAAAGCACATCACAAAAAATACTATATTGTTAGGGGATTTAAAGGCTCACCACCATAGCTGGACTACTAGAAACCACACAGACAAATTTGGTAATCTACTACACGCGTGGGCAGAACAAAATGATCTCATAATCAAATCCCCTACCAGATACAGCCCACAGGAAAACCAAAACTTCCTCACTGCAATAGATCTGACAATAACTACCCCAAATCTGGCAAGTAAAACTACATGGGAAGTATTTGACGACCCATGGGGTAGTGATCACTTCCCAATCTCAATAAATATCAAAACTGGTTCAAGTTATATATCAGAACAAACTTCAGAGATCCAAAATTTAACTACAAAAATGCAGACTGGGAGAATTACAAAACCCTAATTGACCACCCACAAATTATAGATCCAGACCCTGAAATCTTTTCCAAAAAATTAACAAAAGAAATTATCACTATAGCCACTAAGTGTATCCCCAAAACTAACCCCAACCCCCAACGAAATAAAGTTCCCTGGTGGACCCTAGAAATCATAGAGGCTAGAAGACAAAGAAAACGAGCATTTAGACGCGCAAAAAAACAATCTACGTGAACTCCCACACGCAAAACAACTATGAAACAGTACACACATGTTAATAAAAAATTCTGCAGTACCTTAAACACAACAAAAAACAATTCAAAGGCCATGTGGAGCAAACTAAAGGCAATAAACGGTACCAAAACATCATCACACATCCGCAAAAAAAGACAACCTAACTGATAACAAATTAAAAGCACAATCATTAGCTCAACACTACCAACATATAAGTAGTAACACAAACCACCCCCCCTTCACTCCAACAGAAACTACTCACTACACCTGATTACATCACACAACCACCCCAAGCCCATATACCCTACAACGCACCCTTGACAATACACGAGCCTATACACGAGCCTACACACATCTGCTCCAGGAGCAGATGACATAACTTATATACTACACAAAAACCTCAACATGCACGGAAAACTTCTTCCACTGAATCTCCTCAATGCAGTCTGGGATACAACACAAATACCTACGACATGGAAACAAGCACTTGAAATCCCAATAAAAAAAATTAAAAAAACCCCACAGAAGTCAGAATCATACAGACCCATATCACTCACATGAAATATGTGCAAAATCATGGAAACAATAATAAATAAAAGGCTTCAACAGCACATAGACACAAACCATCTCTTACATGCAGACCAGAGCGGGTTCACGCCAAACAGAACACCCTAGATCACATCATTCGAATTGAACACGACATCAGAGTAGCCCAGGCTAACAAACACTACCTCCTAGCGATTTCTCAAAAGCCTTTGACATGATCTGGAATGACGGTCTAATCACTAAATTGTCAAACAAAAATATTAAAGGACGTATGCTAAACTTCATACACAACTTTCTCAAAAATCGCACCATAACTGTAAAAGTAAACAACACACTGTCTGACCCACATCACATCCAAAACGGGACACCTCAAGGCAGTGTCCTTTCTCCAACACTTTTCAATCTTATGATCGATGACATATTCACAGACACCCGCTCAACAATCAAAACAGCTAAATTTGCAGACGACGCATCACCTTGGACTTCCCATAAAACACTACGCAGGTACAGCAGGCGGCGTCCACTAATGCCTACATCCACTAATGTCTACGGTCTACAAAAGACAAAGTCTTGCACCAGTGATTTTCAGCGACACCTGCTATCAGTGCTACCCAACCTCGAACTGGACAAGTCCACTTTAGTGGAATAATGCCTATAGGCGAGAAAAGACAGAAAATTGTATGAAGTCACTTTTTATTTCACATTGCCATAACACTAACAGTAATAATTTATGATTTCTGCATCATTGCATTAGTTCTTATGGTATACACCAGCAGATATTTGCTGATTTCTTATATCAGTACATGGGCAGAATAGCAGTGTACACTGATTTCTGATTTCAAGCATCATACAGTTCTTTATGAGAGTTTCAGCAAATGTCCTGCAGCATCTAGAAACTGAAGAGGTGACTTTCTGTGATGGACCAAGTCATCTTTCAGACGTTGGATCCTCTGGTCTATCTCAACATAGACACGCTTGCGGGGTGGAGGACGTGCACCATGTATATAATGGGCAATCTTAAGCTTGTTCCTTTCTGCTTTTTCTAGCTTCTGAAGGACTCTCACAAGGCAGTAGATGTTGGGGTGGGCTCGCTGAACAGTCTTGTTAAGGTGAGCATGCCACCCTTCAAGGTGGTTGTTACTTCGAGGACAAAAGTTGGTGTGGTGATTCCAAATACCAGCACGGAACATGGCATTGTCGCCGACCCAAGTATTCACCATGTAGTCCTTGAATGACGTGATCTGGGGCGTATCAGGGGCATCCTCCATTGCGTCGAGCCAGGATTGTTGAACCGTGTTGACTGGTAGCAGTGGTAGTGCAGCAGCACGTCTGACAAGGTTGTGGATGTCCGGATTGTCTCTGTACTGATTGACCATCTCCAAATGTTGAACCTTCTTCCACACTGCCTGCGTATAGTGGAAGAAGCACCCCCTGATTTCTGTACCAGGCAGCTCCTCCTCGACAGCTCGCATCACAGCAACTTCAAAGGCAGTCTGTATTACTTGTGGCTGTAGAGGAGCTCCTGTGATCTGCAGCACTGTCTCCTTAAGCTTCTGAATGAGTCTGACATATGTGGATCTCTGGCGATTGGGCAGCAAACAAAAGATCAGCTGTGTCATCGTGGATCCAACTAACCCATGCACTATGTACAACTGATTCCACAGGGCTGGAGCAGAATAAAACGTTCCATCCATATAGTGTCCAACTGCTGAACAAGGTGAAGGCGGTCTTCGATGGCAAAGCAAATAATCTTCTCATCATCACCATCGTTGACGCACATAAAGGGTCTGCCGTTCCAGGTGTCCTGCCAGGTACCCAGTTGCTGAACTTGTACCAGTGACTGCGGGAGGGCTGGATTAGTCTTCCTACGCTGCTTGTAGAGACCACTTCTCTTTGTATAGAAGGATGGAAATACTGCAGCTGCATCTTCTTGTGGCAACCTCTTCCTCAAAGATGGCCTGGATTGATGTTGTCTCAGCTTGGACTCTCTCTCTCTAAGAACACTTAAAGTACGGAAAGTCGTCATATCTTCTGCTGGGTGGTTGTGAGGGCTGCGGTTTCTACCAAAAGTCTCCAACTGTGGTACACTTTCCTGTGCATCCAGTGGTTACGCATTTCCAATGTACACAGGTCTGTCTTCTGTTGTTCAGGCGGTACCGATATCCATCAAGGACGACCGCTGTCCACCTTTCTGGGATGTCACAAACTCAACACGCTGAGGATTTGCCAATGGGCAAACACTGTCATTTTATACTTCTACCAATGCATGATTTGACTTTTGAGATAACTCGTTAAGTTTCTAAAGAGTATTTATCCTCTACTCAGTTAGTTCGGTTAATCCTCTGCTAAAATCACAACTACGGGGAGCATGGAGATTAACTCGTGTTAAGATCACAACTAGGAAGGCCATGTAGATCATTTCAACAATAACTTGACATAATCCAGTTAATTATATTTATGTTGAGAAATGCAAATCTGCAGCTGAAATGAAAGAGCATTAGTGGATGTAGGCATTAGTGGACGCCGCCCATCTAACTTAAGATCGCTTCTCAAAGAAATCTAATTTTGGAAGAGTTCATTCCTAGCATGGGTATGTTATTTTCATTGTGTAGGCATTATTCCACAGTGCTTTATTTTTTTGTAGGCAATAGTAACTGTAGGCAAAAATGGACGTAGGCATTAGTGGCTGGAACCGCACAGCACAGGAACACACCCAACAAGCACTCAATGATATTGACACATGGGCAAATACATGGGGTTTTAAAATCAACACCGACAAAACAGTAGCCATACTCTTAAAAACACCTAACATGCAAAACTACTCCCCACCTTTAACGCTAAATAACCCCCAAATCAACTACAGCACACAAACAAAATTTCTAGGCCTAATACTTGACCAAAACCTAACATACACACCCCATATCAAACACCTCATCACAAAATGCAACCATGATCTCAACTTAATGCGCAGCATACTGAGAACAAGCTGGGAAACAGACCAGCACACGCTACTTACTGTCTACAAAACACTCATCCGACCCAAGTTAGAATACGCCGCACCCGCATACGACGCACTCACACAAACAGACTCCAAGAAATTAGACTCAATACAATACAAAGCACTTTCAATCTCACTAGGTATAGTATCATGCACCGCACTTACATCTCTCTTAAAGCTCACTGGGGAAATAGCTCTACCCCTTAAACGCAAACAAATTACACTAAACTACTGGGCTACAGCATGCACAAACCCATTGTTAAGCAGCCTCATAACAAAAACGGAAAATCTACCAGAAAGAAAGAAAGAAAGAATTTTTGACAGAAGACTCCCATTCACCAATCGGCTAAACCACCTTCTCATACAAAACTTAAAAACAAACTTAAAAACATAAAACTCACCCCTGTCATTCATGACTGCTCATATCACCTGCCACCTCCTCATACTGACACTGGTCTAACAAACATCGCAAAAATAACATCAAACAAGCACTAACAAAATATAGAGAGAGAAGAAGAAGAAGAAGAATATTTTATTATAGTGTCACCAGCTGTACATATAAAATGACAAGGCAAGAATGTAAAAATTCAGCGGCCGGTCAAAATGGCCTACGAGACACTAAAAGACTCATAAAAACACTATTTTATATATGTACACACCACATTTAATAGCAGTTATGAAAATAACATTCATAATATTATCCCCCATACAAACATCCTATATACACACAACCACATCCATTCCCACACCCAGGCCTTCACTCACAGCAGCTTACGCAAACCACGCAAACACACCCGCACATTCAGACACACCCAAACCCTCATTGACATCACTTCAATCACATCCGAACCCTCGCTCGAACCCTCAGCGTCACACATCACTCTCACACACCCTATTTCTTAAACACACCCTCACCTGTATCCGTTCCCGCATCCACACCAACTCCCTCATCCGCACCCATCAACCACGTCCTCACTCGCATCCACATCCCTCCCCGTCTCCACAAAAAAGAAGCACCAACCACGCACAAAGACACCAACAAAGTAACAATCTACCGCCGCATACACACACTCCCTCCCAACGACCCCCCCCCCCCCCCCCCCCCCCCCCCCACACACACACACACACACCCACACCCGCGACAACATGAAACAAGCACCCATCACAACCCCTCGGGCCAGCCACCCATCACAACCCACAGCACCCCCACACATCAACCCTACAACACAGCAAAACATGATAGATGATAAGAATTATCACACGCACACAACTACCCAGTTTATTGTTTTATATATTTTCTTCTCCGATACATTGTGAAGATTAATGCAGCAAGTGGTTTAACCAGTTCGTCGCACTGCATTAAGAATACGGTTTGGTCTGCCGGAGACATGGTAATAAACGAGGGGTTAATAAGGGATACTTTCTGCCAAACATTAAGTCTTAGATCTCTATAACATAATGGCAATGGATTACATACAACAACACTGGCCAGATTGGACATACATCTACACAGACGGGTCACACAACCCGACGGACCACACCACAGCCTTCGCAATTCACACAACCAAACAAAACATAACCACCACATCAGCACGCATCCCAAACCACCTATCCATACATACCGCCGAAAAAACAGCAATCTATATGGCCTTCAAAATGGCAGAGACAATAACACAAAACAAAACTTCTAATCCTCACAGATTCACTTAGCTCAATACAATCAATTAAAAGCAGAAATTACACAAACAGGCCACATCTACTACACCGAATACTACACTTAACGAAAACATTAACAGAACAAAAAAAACAAATCAATATTGCATGGGTACCCTCACATATTGGGATCATGGGAAACGAAAACGCAGATCAAGCGGCCAAACAAGCAGCAAAAAATAAGTACATTAATTACCCACTGACATACAGCAAACAGGAATATAAATCCATCATAAATAAACTAACAACCCAAGAAAACTTCAAACAACTGCACACCTCCCCCGCCACATGGACATACAAAACAATAAATAAACAAATCAATAAAGTAAATCTTTCTAGCAACTCACGTAAAATACAATCCGCACTAAACAGGCTATATGTAGGCATCACAAAATTGAACTTTCGCCATTCCACTGGGCTCTGCCCCACATGTCAAGTTCCCCAAACAATACAGCACCTATTCTACACGTGCACACTCTACTTACAACACAGAATACAGTACATCAACACAATAGATGCAAAATACACAAAAACTATCTACACACTCCTATCTCCCCACAATCCCCCACAAAAACAAAAAAACAATCATAAATTATATCACAAAAACAGATCTCATAAAAGTAATCTAACACCACCCACAAAAGCGACACATACATCCAACCAACTTCCTAACGCATATTAACCAAACGCACCTCTCCCAAGACATTTAAAAAACCCTAAAATCCCAAATCATTATTTACTCACTGCCCACTATCCTTCCAAACAAAACCTATGTAACACAAAACAACTTAAGAAAGCTATCAAATAATTTCTAATTCTTCCGCAAACCACACAAATCATAACCAAAACTAAATACTCCAAATAAATCACACTATAGCTAGGCCCCATCTCCACGCCAACCACCCATTCCCCTGCCCCATAGAACCTTACATTTTTGTGTGTGGCTACCTTAGCATATCTCCACTATTCACGTCATTATCAGGACTTACGTACCTTGGGCCACGTTGTCAACAATGGTTGCTGTAACGAAGATGGCAAATAGCAGAACTTGGCCTTGCAAACATGCCATACCTCTCTGTCGGGTGAAAACACTTGTAATGATTCTGGCGAAAAAGAGAGTGAATGTTAAGTGTGTGTTCAATAATTAATAAATATATATAAGCAAATGACGTCATTCAGGGAATGTTTATAAAAGCGTAAGAGACACCAAAGTACGACCTACGTAGTCTACCTCACTCAGCAATATTGCAGCTGCATGATGGCGGCTGCAAATAATCGACCCTGGACTAAATCAACAGTCAAGTAGTTGACATCAAGGGCGTCGATTTACGCAACTGAATCCCCAGTTTGCTGCAAACAGAAGTCCATAATCTTCAGGCACTCTATTGTATGGTTACTAGAATAACCCGTTTCGTCATTATTATTATGTAAAACTGTATAACATATATTTATAGTGCTACGCACTTGTGAACGTCTTATGAAATATCATGCATCAGATCGTGCTCACTCGCGTCTGCCTGTCAAATAGCACTTCCTATCTTCGGCGCCTTTACATGTCTAAACAACGTAACAGTTCTTGCTCGTTTATGCATGTCTATTTAAATAACACATGTCCGGTATTGCTCGTTTATGCATGTCTATTTAAATAACATATGGCCGGCATTGCTCACTTATGCATGTCTATTTAAATAACACATGTCCGGTATTGCTCACTTATGCATGTCTATTTAAATAACACATGTCCGGCATTGCTCACTTATGTATGTCTATTTAAATAACACATGTCCGGTATTGCTCACTTATGCATGTCTATTTAAATAACACATGTCCTTTATTTCTCACTTATGCATGTCTATTTAAATAACATATGTCCGGCATTGCTCACTTATGCATGCTTATTTAAATAACACATGTCAGGTATTGCTCACTTATGTATGTCTGTTTAAATAACATATGTCCGGCATTGCTCACTTATGCATTTCTACATAAATATCACATGTCCTTTCTTGCTCACTTATGCATTTCTACATAAATAACATATGTCCGGTATTGCTCACTGTTGTATTTCTACAAAAATAACATATGTCAATAATAACATACTTGTGATTGACTGCTACGAAAAACATGTCTGTAGTGTTCCGGTATCGTTCCATGTGCAGGAGGGAATGGAAAGGTGGTCATTGCCTTGATTCAGTCAGACTAAGTGCAACTAAACTGGGCGGCAAAAGAAAGTATAGGTTGAGTTCCATGATAGATAAAAAAGTAAGAAGAATTGTTGTGAATTATAATATAATCTAGGGAGGGGTAACAAATGATTGATCAACCACAGTTTGAATGAAATTGTGCAATCACAGGTAATGTAAGCTCAAGGTGAACAATGGTGGGGTAAGAAATATAATTTTCAAAAGTTGTCTGAAAAGTCACCAAAAAAATGTCAGACACGCTACAAGTTCATTGTCGACACAGTTGCCTTCAATAGCGTGTATGACGTCCAGCTGCCTCAATGCATGCTGTGATACGCCGCCTCATCGATGACGTCAGTGTTGAAACAATGACCCCTGCTGTTGGTTTTGTAAGAACGGAAGCACAACTGGCTGCAAGACTTGGTCTCTGTACTGCACAGCGTTCAGGTTTCCCTATATAATCACCAAATCAGTCTTCTGATCTCCACAAATACCGCCCCACACCATGACACCTCCCCCGCCTAATGGATGGACCTCTCGAATACACGCTGGAGCCAAACGTTCTCCTCTGCGTCTATAAACTCGTTCTCTGCCGTCATTTCGAAACAAGTTAAACTGACTTTCATCAGTAAACAGCACTCGACGCCAATTTCTCACTTGCCAGCGTCGAACCTGCCTCGCCCATCGCAGTCTCAGGCGTTGATTTTGAGCAATCAGTACCATTCCTCGGAAAGGACGATACGCTCGGATTCCAGCAGCACGAAGTCGTCGTAGTACTGTACGTTGGCTAATGGGATGTCCCAACGCTGTTGCTGCCGTCGCCGTCGTCGTCGTCGTCGCCGTTACGAATCTGTTTCGCAGGTGAATGAGCCGCATCTGACCGTCTTCCAGTGGTGTTATCACTCGGGGTCGTCCGGTTCTAGGCCTGTCCTATGTCCTCCCTGTCTGCCTGTACCGTTGATTCAGCCTGGCTACTGTCAATGGTGTACAACCAAATCTTCTGGCAATTTGGACCTGTGTTGCCCCATTTCGGCCATACCGGTGGCTCTCTCTGCTCCTGTGACAGTCGTGGCATTTCTTTTGTGTGCTTTCATCACGTGTGGTTATACCCTGCAGACGAACGCATTTATACAGCTAACATGCACGTGCAGTTGTAGTCATAGGCGGGATAGGCGGGAAACCTGTTTCACCATTTTTTTGTCACCGCACGAGCGCTGTCAAAGGTGGCGCGTTCGGGTGAGGTGTTTTTTGGTACCTGTTCCTGGGCAGTCATATTCTTAATACCCACTTTCTACTAGTTATCTCTTTTTTTAGGAAAATTACAAATTGCCAACCTATACTTTCTTTCGCCGCTTAGTTTATATAGGTGCTACTAATACATGACATTCAGTCACGTGGCGTGTCGGGGTTTACAAATGTCTTATGGTAATTAAGATTTTTATCATTTTACTAGTTTTTTGGTCAATAAATGCTACATAAATTGTTCAGTCATATTTTGAACATCTATCCTTTTAAGACTTTTGTCAGCTTCTGATGTGTTTTCCTGGCTCAAAGAAAATACCCATCGTTGTGTGTTGAATGAGAATAATTTGACAGGACATATGTGAGATGACTCGCAGAGGGCATAGATCACTCCAGTGTATAAGACTTAGGTGAAGCCAAGCGAAGGTATTCAGTGTATTACTATCCTTAACTCGTAAAGGATGTAATGTCGTTACGTTTGATATGTTCGATATGGGCAGAAAGCGTGATCCATTCAACCTCATTTGAATAGGAATAAGAGCGAGTGGGAGGACTGTTTTGAACACCACTTTGAGCAGTTTTTCAGTTAAATCACAACGTGTCAGCTTGCTTAGGTGGGTTCGGAGGTTCTACCATCCCAGTTGAAACCCACCATCGCGGCTTTAAAGCTGGTCACGTATTATTTTGGGAGCGAGGCTTGTGTTCGAACTCACGATCAGCGGATTCTGATAACTAAGGGACACCTCTTTGTACATCGGATTGGGCGCATTATACCACTAGGCACTGAATAAGGACTATAACTGTATCAATATCACAGAGACACGGGACTACCCACACCGTCTGAGACAGTCGTTTGTATATATGTAGATAACGTCAAAAACGGTGACATGTTCCAGGCGATAAACTGTTGAAGATAACAATCTTAACCGGCTGGGGACACTTCTTTAGTTCAGCACATCAGGTGCATGTCGATCCCTTTCAATATGAGGCTACGGAAAGTATTGATTCTGTAGCTTCATCCGACAAATATTGATCATAACAGAATGGAGATGTCATTGTGATATTATGCTCCTGTTTGGTGTTCACTGTACCCAGGCTCAAATCACATTGAAACAATGGATGCAGCATATTTAAAAGAAGATGGTTTCGATTGTTGACATGTTGCTTGAGAGGCGGTTGCAACTTTAGAACAGGACATGCTTACCTATTTTTGCAAACACCTGGTGTCATCACAGATTTTCAGCTATCCATTCAGATGATGTTCACCACTATTTTGCCTTTTTCCCTATTAGAATCTTTTACGCTGAATTTCGGCAGATTATCGAGACTGATTATTCTCTGACGTTGACGTAATACATTTCCATTTCCAAGACACCAGGAGGTGGGCTCCATTGCTGTTTAGATCACAATTAAGGTATTTTGTTTGGGAGTTGGTTTTCCACAATAAAACATCCTTTAGAGATTTCAGTATAAGTTATACCATACTCAAAACTACCTAACTCAATTACAGACAAGTAAACATGTATTTACCCGGTTTTTCCTGTCATGTGACGTGTACCAGGCCCAGTAGTCAGAGCTGTACATGCATAGGAGATCCAGAAACATGCATGCTGAATAGTTTCCAAACACTTATTCATCCACTCAACCCCACTTAGTTATTGAATTCCTAGAAAATGTTGCCCTTACAAACCAACCAAAAGTTAACCGAAGCGTGACGTCGCGAAATATGTCTTCTTAACAGTGTTTGTCAAAGGGCGACAAGGTTTTTTTTTAAGGTTAAAATATGTCGCAATGTGGCCCTTTTCCATTTATGCTGCCCATTTAAACTAAGTGAATTTATCTTTGCATGTGCAGAAATGGTTATCGTGCTTTGCCAACTCCTTTTTCCCATTCCAAAAATTCTAGACCAAATACCGATAAAAATATGGGTTTGTTTAGAAATGTTTTGTCAGTCAGATTCAGTGTATTCTCAGCGTGAGCACCACCGGTGGTACATGAGCATTTGCATATTACGTTTGTAACGACTTGACGGATATAACGTACTGAGGTTTTTTACGCGGCATTTGCTGTACATATCCTGTATATATGCTGTATATATCCTGTATATATGCTGTATATATCCTGTATATATGCTGTGCATATCCTATATATATGCTGTATATACCCTGTATATATCCTGTATATATGCTGTACATATCCTGTATATATGCTGTATATACCCTGTATATATGCTGTATATATGCTGTATATATCCTATATATATGCTGTATATACCCTGTATATATGCTGTATATATGCTGTATATACCCTGTATATATGCTGTATATACCCTGTGTATATGCTGTACATATGCTTATAATGAACTACGGTTGTAACGAACTAAAATTAGTGGTCATTTTGAGCTGATTATAACCCTGGTTTAATGTGTGTGTGTGTGTGTGTGTGTGTGTGTGTGTGTGTGTGTGTGTGTGTGTGTGTGTGTGTGTGTGTGTGTGTGTGTGTGTGTGTGTGTGTGTGTGTGTGTGTGTGTGTGTGTGTGTGTGTGTGTGTGCGTGTATATATAAATACAAAAAGGTATGATATGTCGATGTTGTTGAAATATACAAAGGTGGTTTGACGCCAAGAAGCAAAGTAGATGAGGGGACACGGTCGTCACAGTAATGTTAGGCTGCACAATTCGCTGTGCGGAGTTACGTCCCCTAGATGTGCCCGAAACCTATGATTGTGGGTTCGATTCCCGGTTCGATTCCCGATTCGTCCTGATTAGGTTTCTATGTTTAACAGTTTTGCCAACGTGGTCTACGACCTACATGACCTCCAAATCAAGCTGATAAGCCGTGATATAACAGGCAATAATGTTCCAAGCGTTAAACCACATTCACTCACTCATGCTATCCCTTGTGATGAAAGGCGCTTTGAGAGCCTGGTAAATTAAGAGCATTCTTCACAAAAATGTAATTGCGATATCTGCATTATCAACCTTCAGAATACCGCCGAATACTTCAACCCGCTGAGTAAGCTTCTTCTTAACGAGGGTAAATAAGAGCATTTGTAGTTGTTCTATATGAGTTTGAACTCGCTTTCATCAACAATAAAAGATCATGTTTTGCTGACACTGTGAAAATACGCAGTATCAAATAAAAGACCGACAACGCGACATTTTGATTGCTCCTTTTATATTAATAAAATAGATTGCAAAATAAACTAATGCCAAACTTAAAATTGTTACTATTTAATTGTTACATTTTAACTAATAGCTTAGAAATAATTGTCCAAACGCAACCCCATGAATAAAAATCCCCAAACTGTGCCTTTGTACTCAACATGTATTCTTAAACTTAACCTCTTAGAGAAAGAGCCTATGTTTGAGGTGTGAGCAGCACGTGACGATGTTGGCAGAACTACAATCACCAGGTTGATGACCCTCCACAGGCAGACTGTGGACATGCCTTAGAGCGGCAGCCCATCAGTCACAACCTCTTCAAGAACATCCATTTTAACGTCTTCTCCATTTCATAAACAGATTCCTGACAGTGATGTCTTTTTCTGCAACTGGCCTCGGATATCCTGTCGATCGCAGTAGAGAAGACGTCGTGACTGTATCAGGGCCGGGACAGACCTTACCCAGACGTCAGGGAGTAAGATTGGCAAAAACAGTACAAAAAGAAGATGCACCGCTGGTATAGAGTATTGTCTTTAAACGAATGTCGATCCAACTCTTCAGGGCAGATGACAAAGCTTGTGTCAGCCACAAAGAGGTGAACTCAAGGTAACAAACATCAGGACATCAAACTAATTGGCGGGGGCAGCGTCACGCTCTTTGGAGGCATCTGCGGTCAGGTGAAGACGAATCTGGTTGTGTATCTCAATGTACAACGTCACAAGCATACATCGTCGATGTTCTACGTCCAGTTGTGCTGCCTTTGCTCTAGTAGAACCTCCAGATCTTGTTCAAGCAAGATATCGCCCGACTTCACACAGACCGTTATGTTCGAGAGATTTTTTCAGTCCAACAATGTCAACGTCTTGCCTTATCATTTTAAAGCCTTATAAGTGGTTTATGTGATTTTGTGGTAGGAATATTTGTCCAACTGGTACTGGTCTGCAATTATATATCATTTGAAGGACACAATATACATGGTGTAGTGCATTTCTGATACCATCAATCATTGGTCTATCAGGTCCACATTCGATTATTAATAGGCCCATCTAAAATAAGAACAAGACCGACATTAGAGGATGCCCTAGGGCTTATTCTAACTCCATAAGAGTAGGTCATCCAAGTTAGCAAGTGTCGCCCAATGGAATCTGTTTTGGCGGATAAGCGAGACTGGAAATTCTCTGGCGTTGACGTATT